CTTCTCTTCTCTTCTCTTCTCTTCTCTTCTCTTCTCTTCTCTTCTCTCTTCTCTCTTCTCTCTTCTCTCTTCTCTCTTCTCTCTTCTCTGAGCTGCTTGTAGTTCAGAAAGCATAACATGCTTTCATTCATCTCCTACACTTTGTATGAATGTATCACATTTTATTATAGCTGTTTTTAAGTGGGGGAACTTATAAAAAAAACTGTCACACTTCAAGGTTCTAAGTCATGTACAGAACAGTCTAGCTCTGCATCACCCCCATCCTTGCCTCCTGCCCATTCCTAATACCACCCCTAAATCTCAGGTCATCCTTGAACTTGAACGTCTTTTCTTAGCCTCATCTTCACCTCACGCCGTGCCTTACTTGTATCTCCAGATCCTACCCCATCACTGATTCATACGTACTCCAGGGGTTGAGGTCAGTGATGAGTGATGTTCAAGAATGGGTTAGGTAGGCAGGAGGTCTGGGGATGATGTGAGAGACAGGGATGTCTATTGCACATACTTTTTGGTACCAAACTGGTTTTGCGTGTTAACATAACTGTTTAAACATGGCTAAGTAAAGTGGCACCCTCTAATTAAGTTGCATTGTCCTGTTTTATTCTTATAGATGCTATGCTGCCAGCTTGGAATCTCCCTTTTCCCTGCCCCCAACTAATTTCTGTTCATCTTTCAAGCCCCTTCCCAGGTATCACCTTCCCTCAGTTATTCTTTACTGACCCCAAGATTGGACTGGGTGCCACTCCTCTGTGTGCTAATGGCACTGTTGGGTTCACTGTATTGTGATTGTCTGTTTATTTGCCTGTCTCCTTCTCTCTCTCTTAGTCTTCTCTCTATCTCTAGAATTTCACTAGGACATGCCTAGCAATAGGAGATGCTGAAGAAATGCTTACTGAATGACTGTAGAATGGATGATGTCCTGTGACAGAATTCTAAGAACCTGCAGAAGATCAAGGAGCACAAATAACCCACAGTCCAAGGAGATTTATTAGATCATCTCTTCCACTTTCTGTGAATGTGAAATTGCACACCAGTACTGGTTCGTCTCTAGGTTTAGCCTTCCTCTGTTGGCTGCCCCTTACACACCATCTGAAATCCTCTTAGCCCCACTTCCTTCTCAGTTGCCTTGGTGACCAGCTCTGCTGGACTGTACCATTCTACCATCCAACGCATGTTGGGCTTACTCCCACCACTTCTGGACTCAGATGAAGCACCACCCTGTAGGTATGGGATCTAGCTTCCTCATTTGCTGCTGAAGGAGCAAGACAATACACCCCAAAAGTGTGGGGGATGTTGGGTCACCATGGAATGAACTTTGGCCCAGTGGGGAATAAGAGAGAGTCAGGTGATGGCAGACATTTTCCCTCTCAGAGTATCGCTCCATTTGATGGGAACTTTTGGGAGGCTGTAATCTCTACCAGCCTCTTTGGGGGTGTCCCATATGACCGAGTGAGAAGTTTTGTTTATTGTGAAGCCATGATTGGTCCTGCCCCATTTGTTATTTGATTTTGCTGTCTCACTTCTTTTTCTAAACTCAAGCTTCCTGGGATTGCTAAAATGGCCTAGAAGTTTGGTCTCAGGCTCTCATTTCTAAGCAACACAGCCTAAGACACATTCACACTTACCACTCTTTCCCTAGAGAAACGGGGGCCAGTGAAGGTAGAAGAAGAGGGAGGAACACTACAGATCAGGTGGTCTCTAGGGTATGGATCTGACAGGGCATGACTGGGAGTCTGAGCCTTCAATCCTCCATCCCCTGTTCTCTCTTTTCTGTAACACTGGCTGCCCTCATTTGGAGGAACTGGGAAGATGGGTCTATCAGTAGTAAAAGATCCATCATTTGTAACGTGGATCTGGTCCCTTTGTAGGCTAGCCATCTGTTCCATGGTTTCCTATTTTTAAAAATATTTCTAATTAAAAAAAAAACACATCAGACATCTATCTTTGAATGTCAGCAATACAGCTGTGAAAATTGATCCCGTGAGGATGTGTGATACATTCTGGGTTTAAAGCTTACCTTCACCACTTCCAATGTGTGTAGCTTTGAGAAAGTTAGCTGATCCAAGCTTTAGTTTCCTCATCTGGAAATAGGCATTAACAATAACATTCCCCTAGAGTGGTTGTAGAGATCAGGTAAGACGATGCCTGTAAGACCCTTAGCACAGTGCCTTACAGAGTAAGCTGTCAGAAGGTAGTTGCTATAGTTGTTATTCTGTCTTCACAGTACAATTTGAGAATGAGAGAGGGTTAATCTCTGGATAGGAAACAAATGTAAGGTGATATATATATATATATATTTTTTAGCCCTTAAACGTTTTATTGGGTTTTCGGGAGGGGCTTTTTTGGTAAACCTCAGGCCAGTTTTATACTTGTTGAAACAGGTGGGAAGGCATGCTAAAACCCTTGCATGGAAGCAGCGGTTACCTGCTAGGTATTTTATTTTGTGCAACGTGTGAGAATCACATACGGTTTGAGACTAGTTAAATATGTTTCCCGTCTTTTAAGTATTTTCAAGGTTGCAAATAAGTTTATATTAATCCCAAATTAATACATTTGTGGAAACAAAAGCGGAAAGGTTTTGCAACTTTGCTGTGGTCATTCAAAGAATTTGTGGCAGGGAAGATCCCAGGAAATCTCTTGCTCCTTATCTGAGGTGAGTTTCAATTCATGCCAGGTAAAAAAGAAAAGTACTTCCTCCATAGAAGTTTGTAATGGGGATTAACAGAGTGTACACTGTTAAAAAAAAAAAAAAGTAATTTTTTGCCTTCCTTTACAAAGTTGTATTAAGAGTCATTAAACTTTAAACTG